AGTCATACGTAGCTGTCATCCGTACGCAAGGAAGTAAGCACAAGATGCCGAACACCCTTAGCAGGATGCAGCTCACCCTTCATGCGACTCGCCGAATACCTCACGGCGCTTCGCGCTTGGTGATGTGAGAGCCTGGTCCGGTGAGAACCCGGCGTGCTCCGTCCCGGCTTTGTAGGGATGCGAGGTCAATGGTCTAACGACTACGGCATGCACGACTATGAGTACACCCCCCCCCCCCCGCGCGCGTCCTGGGTCTACAATTTCCTCACTTTGCCCAGGCAAGCTTGACGGTCTTGAGGGTCAGCTCGGCACTCAGTCCACCGATCACGATCGCCAGGTGGTAGGGCGGACAGGCCGCGGTCCCGAGCGTCTTGATCTCATCCCAGAAAAACTGCCGCCGCCGCCGCAAAAAAAAAAACGTGTATTGATATGACCATGGAAAACGACCTTAGGACACGTGTGCGACAGCAGGGTTGTTTCCTATGACAGGGAATTTTTATCGGCGTATGCGTGCTACTGGAAAATAGCAAATGGAGAGAAATATAACAACGTTTTCGCAGGAAATATGATCATCACTTTCTTGTTCACGGGAGCACAAGAAACATCCCTGAGAAGGAAAACGAGCGAAGCGCCAAAGAAGAGGGGGGTATAAGACAGAAAACATTGATCTCGTACGAACATGAAGGCGTTATCTGGAGCTGGGAGCGAATCGGGGACTTGGGACACGACCGAGACCGTTGTGACTTTCCCCTCGCCTTAACAAACGTCGAACGTCGACGACAGGCATGTGACAATCTTTGGCTGGCGACAGGTCTCTTAAGAGCGCCCGGCGCTTATGGATTAAATTTAAGAACTAAAGCATTAACAAAGATACGATTAAAATCTGGTCAATATAGATGGTTTGATATAAAAACTATAGCAACAAATGGTATTATCGGAAAGACTAACTATAGGCTTAATAAACTTAAAAAAGAAGGACAATCACGATGGCCCGAACTTTGTACACGAGTCACGCAAACTACGACGGGAATCCAGGAACAGACTTTACAGGACAACGCTAACTGCTTCACCAGTGGTGCCATGGACCGCCCATCGAAATTCGTTACCTCAGCAAAACCACGCCGAATCAGCACACCTAACAGGCGCAAAAAAAAACCCGATGCCCTCACTCACGACGGTCGCACACCGCAAACTCTGATTCACCACAGCGACAGCAATACCATTTTATCATGTGCCCATTTTCTTAACCCCCGTGGGTTACCCCGCTTGGTCTAACCTTTTCTAGGGCCTTCTCGTTCAGTAGTGCCTTGGTCCTCTGGAAAAGAAAGGTCTTATTCGCCGACCCCCCCCCCTTGGCCATGAACTGGAACGCGTACCTGGCCGACCAAAAGAGCAAGCGGCCAGACAGACGCGCGCAGATACGGATGACACCTTTCGCTGAGTACCCGCTGCTCCGGGCATCGTCATGACTACCGCTCGCTCAGTATATACGCCCCCCCTGGGTACGAAAAATACGGTCCTGATACGGAGGCCCTACAGATGGTGACACATAACCTCTCTACACGGGGTGGGGCGGGGATAGGGCGAACCGTGGGAAAGCGACATACACACAACTTATTTATCGTATGCTACACACGGTATTCTATCGGAGACATCAACCAAAAAGCTTCAATGTTGTACATAAAAAGAGTGCGCTTCGAAGCATACATGTATCCGAGCGGGATAGCCGCAAGTCGAGCATTGAAATCTGCCTCCAAGTGTACGTTCGGGTGGGAACACGAGAAAGGTCGAGCGTTGAAAACGCCAAACACACTTACTCCTTGCCCGGCGTGGCAAAGAGGTCGATCTGCGCCGGCAGGTTGGTGCCGGTGTTCTTTTCCGTAAACATGTCCGTCGGTGCCACTTGGGAGTACCTAGAGCGAACGAACGCGTCGTGTTGTGCGCCGGTTAGGGGTGATCAGATTTTTCCCATTTTCAATGTTTCGGGCTGGTGTTCGCCGTTAGGTAGCCAGGCAAATAGAAGTAGTGTTTCTTCCCCCGCGTCGGATGCATACCTCAAGGCGCCTCGCGCTTGGTGATGTGAGAGCCTGGTCCGGTGAGAATCCGGCGTGCTCCGTCCCGGCTTTTGTAGGGAGGCGAGGTCAATGGTCTGACGACTACGGCATGCACGACTATGAGTACAACCCCCCCCCCCCCCCCCCCCCCCCC